ATGTAACCAATGAGAGAGAGAAAGGGGGTGGGGGAAAAAGGGGAGATGAATCATTGTTGATCATAAAAATACATAATTTTATTTTTCAACCATAAATTATCAAAATTCCATAAAAAAATATGTAAGGATTACCACAAAAAATACATAATATAAACGATAAAATACATAATAATATACAAGTTGTACACCTTTTGTGAGTGTGCATCAGAAAATTTTCTTTTTTTGTCCATGAGCATATTCCAAATTTCTTATCAAATACTCGTTTTATAAATCAAACTAAGCTTTTTGTCTCAATCATTTATACTCGTTTTATATGGTCCCAAAATAATAATAATAATAATAATAATAAATAAATAAATAAAAAGAACAGACAACCAAACAATCAAAGGCTGACCTTCAAGGTTTATTATATGTAGTGGAGTACTATGAAAGCACTTCAGTTGAGCTGGTACATGAGGCTTCCTCACAGTGTACATTTGCATTACTTATTTCAGTTTTCCCTGTATTGATGAAATGAAGGCGAACATGCGAAGTTAAATTGTAATATACATTTTGAGGTCATTTGAAATATAATTCACATTTTAATGATATTTATGTATTGGAGTATGACATATTCGTTCAATGAATACCTATGAATTTTGATCAAAATTATACTCTTTTGTCATCAACACATCTGCCACTGTCGTGTTCTGTAAACCCTTGTGATGCATAATAGGAGAGGAGGCGACACGCCTACATCATGAGAATATTTTCTTCATCTCAGTTGTATCCCTTACAAGTGAATGTTGTAGAGTTGCAATCTTGAGTGTTTCTTGGCAAGACCGTACTGCCCGGACAAATCCTTGCATTTTTCCCATCAACTGAAACAAAAGAATGCCATAAACAACTCTCACCATTCATAAGAGTTTTCTATTAGATTTAAGCAATGAATATGAATTGATCTCTTGTTTTGGTTTTTGGGAAATGACTTCAGAATCTTTATATTAGAACACTAGTGTACAAAAGCACAGATTTTCTGAGTCTGCCAACTCCATAGGAAGAAAGCAATATGTGCATAAAGATACGAGTGTAAAGTTAAAAACAAAAATGACAACTTAAAAGGGGAAAAAAAAAAGGGTTAATGAAAGGGTAATTGGGGTGAAAAAGTGTTGAAATTTGTGAAAAGTTTATTGGAATAGATGAAAAATATTATAATCAGTTTGAAAACAATAAAAAGAATGTATAAATTTGTGAAAAAAGTCTACTGTTTTTATTTTTATGTTTTGTGCCTTAAGGACACTAGTTAGCAAATCAAGAAAAGAAAAGAAAAAATTATATATATATATAAAGCAACAAAAATAGTACTACAAGAAACATACCTTGTAATTAGATTAGAGGTTGAGCTTGGAGCTGAATGGAAGCTCTCTTGAAGCTGAAGATATGTCCTGCTTCCACTGTTGGCAATCCAGAGGAGACTAATAATGTGTTTGGTTGGGAGATTCGGTAAGGAATTTAGAAAGGGAAAAGGAAAAGAAAAAGATAAGTGAAATGCGAATCGCGAATCAAATATACTTACATTTCACCTAATTTCACACTATGTTACCAAAAAACGCTAATACCCTAACAAATTACATATTGGTACGCACAATCCAAAATATGGTACACTTCCGTTCCAAAACGGTAAATTTAGCGATCTGAAACGATCCCCAAAGTTTTTCCAATAAATTTCCTTATATGTTTCCTTTGGAGGAAAAAAATCAAATATAATGAATTAAAATCTAAAGTAAGTTAAGTTTTGACAAGACAACATAAAAAATGAGTCATAATACTCATAGAAATGTTTTGCTACATGAAACTAAATTTTATTAGATGCCTAATAGTTAAAAGAAAATTACTCTAAAGTACCTTAAATTCGCAAGTATATTATATATACAAGTCTACCCCTATTGCAACACATTTTAGAGCATATAGCGCACCATATTCCTGTTCCCGTTTCTCATATTGGAATGAACCACATTCCAGGTAACATAAGTTTCACACACCTTTTTCCCTTTCCCTTTTTAAATCCCTCACTAAATCTCTCAACCAAACACAGCTGAAAAGAATATCTTGATTCTTGCCTCCATTGCTTGCTTGTCAAAATGCATTTTAGGGTGTTCTTTTCATTCCTGGTAAGTTGCTTCTTTAGGTGGACATGATGTGTAAAATAGCTTTAATCACCCACAAGTTGCTTCAAGAGTTTCATGTATAATTTGGAAGCAATGGGCAAAGAGAGGGGAACCTGTTCTTAAACAAAGCTAAATTCACATTAACATATGCTTGGAACGCCTATTGGAGCGGAAAAGTACATACAGATTCCTCATTGTTACCAAGTTCAATACACTGCTAGACATCAACGTTCAAGAATTGGAATGCAAAAGCAGAAAATAGAAATCCAAAGCGGATTGAAACAAGATGCTAGACCTGCCAGTGAGGGAAAGTTGGAGTAATGGGAATCCCACGTCTCAAAACTGGCAGAAGTCCCTGGGAGGCAAAGAATCAACCAGTGAATATAAGAAGACAAACAATGTAAGTGTCCTGAAAACATTCCAAGGTATCAAACAAAACCTATTTATATGCACTTCTTGTCAAATGTTGGATATCATTATCAAAGCACATCCAGTCATCATTTTCTGTATTATCTATGGCCAAAAAGAAGATCTTTGGCATTCCAATCCCTTGGCTACCAGTAACACCAGGCCCTCGCCCACCACAACTCACTACTGCTGAAACCGAAATCCAAATCCAGATTGCTACCACAAATCCTACTCATAGTCCACCTTCTATGGTTCCAGGGTTAAGCCCAACACAGGCCAGACAAGCTCAAGCATCATCAAGAACCGAGTCTCAATCGCCTGTACCATCAAGTGCAACGACTCAATCCCAAGTCACTTCTCAATCAGAATCACCATATCATGCAGCAACACAATCTGAGCATGCCTCTCAACCCCCATCACCAGCACATGCAGCAACAGAATTCCAAGCTTCCACTCAACCCCTGTCACCATCTCATGTAACCCCTCAACCTCGGGCTACCCCTCAGCCCTCATCATTGTCTCATATGGCTTCTGAGACTCAACCATCATTACAAGAAGCACAGCCTAAATCCCTACCCACATTGCTGCCTCAGCCTGCAGTTCAGACATCCTCACTGCCTTCTTTGCCATCTCTCACATCCACTCAAGCACAATTAATAGAAGGAGCAGTGACACAACCACCACTTTCACCAGAAAAATTACAACACACAATTCAAAAGGACACTCAACCTCCTTCCAGTTCCACTGAGCCTCCGCTGCTTCTCTATCAAGAAGAAGAACAAAAGCTGGCAAGGTCTCAAATAGAGTCACAAGAGTTGCATCCAAAGGAAGAAATGACATCTGAGAATGTTATGATCTCCCACAACCACACACCAAATCAAACAACCTTTCATCCTGAAGCATCAGTCCCTGCAGCTGTGATAGATGATGAAGAAGAACAAAAGCCAGCAAGGTCTCAGCCAGAGTCACAAGAGTTGCATACAAAGGAAGGACATACATCTGATAATGTTCTGAACTCCCACAACCACGCACCAGGTCAAACACAAATGCCAAAACAGCCTTCAGATGCATCACCCCTTGTAGCTGTGAGAGATGGAGAAGAAGAACAAAATCTAGCAAGGTCTGAACCAGAGTCACAGGCAAATGAAGAAAGGACACCTGATAATGTTTTCAACTCCCAAAACTGCGCACCAAATCAAACAAACACTGATCCCAATGGGATGCCAAAACAGCCTTCAGAAACATCAGCCCCTACAGTTGTGAGAGATGGAAAAGAAGAACAAAATTCAGCAAGGTCTCAGCCAGAGTCACAAGAGTGGCATCCAAAGGAAGAAAAGGACATCTGATAATGTTCTAAACTCACATAACCAAGAACCAAGTCAAACAACCATTCAACCTAATGGGATGCCAAAACAACCTTCAGAAGCATCAATTCCCTTAGTTGCGAGAGACGGAGAAGAACAACAAAAGACCGCAAAGTCTCAGCCAGAGTCACGAGAGTTGCATCCAAAGGAAGAAAGGAAATCTGGTAATGTTCAAACAACCATTCATCCCATGCCAAAAGAGCCTTCAGAAGCATCAGTCCCCACAGCTGCGAGAGATGCAGAAGAAGAACAAAAGCCCGCAAAGTCTCAACCAGAGTTACAAGAGTTGCATCCAAAGGAAGAAAGGACATCTGGTAATGTTTTCAACTCTCAGAACCACGCACCAGGTCAAACAACCATTCATCCCAATGGGATGCCAAAACAGCCTTCAGAAGCATCAGTCCCTGCAGCTTTGAGAGATGGAGAAGAAGAAAAAAGCCCACAAAGTATCAACCAGAGTCACAAGAATCGCAACCAAAGGAAGAAAGGACATCTGAGAATGTTCTGAACTCCCAGAACCACGCATCAAGTCAAATGATCGTTCAGCCTAATGAGATGCCAAAACAGTTTTCAGAAGCATCATTCACTCGAGCAGCAGCTGCACCAACTTCTACAGCAACTCTGGAGACAATTGGCCCAACCCAGAAATCAGATTCTTCTCCTGTTAGTCCTGAACCTAAAGCCCTCCAAGAATCAGATGCAAAATCAGAAGAGATTAGTGAATCTTGCCATGAGCCCACCATATCCAATGGAAAACAAGCCCCCCTGCTCAAACAGATTAGGGGTGACATTTCAAAGTTTGTTCATAAGATAGCTACTCAACACCCAAAGTTTCCAATGGAAAAGAAACCAGTTACTGTCATAACCCTAGCTGGTGAAAATAGAGGAGCATCCATGCAACTAGGTGCTGAGTCCACAGAAAAAGAAGGGGCAATCCACATCCACGTGGGATATATGATCAACCCATATGAGAACACTGAAGTTACCTCTGATGGAGAAGAAGGTTCAGAAGATTCAAGCACTGAAGAGCAGAAAAAGCATGTATAAATGGAAATGTACAGGGTATCAATAACTCTATCCTGTTACACAGTTCCATTACCGAAGAGAATCCTGGTCAATCCAGTCAGGAACACTGAAGTCAGCACTGATGGATGGGGAAGCCTCATGGGAAGAAGGTTAAATGCAAATACAAATGGAAATAAACAAGGTATCCGTAACCTAAGAAGCATGGACACGGACACGTGACACGACACGAGTACGACACGGACACGGACACGCTGACACGTTAATTTTCAAAAAATGTAGGACACGACACGTGAGGGACACGCATGAAATATGTAATTTTATATATTTATTATATGTTATATATATGAATATATCATTAAAAAGATAATAAAAAATACAATATGATACTAATTCCTATAAATTTATATAGTTTTTGTTTTATTATTGTATCTTAAGTTGTTTTGTTCAAACTTATAATTAATTTCACATATGTCTAATCGTTAGACACTTGTATTTAAGCGATGGACACGTATGTCCTTCAAGTGTCCAAAGAGTGTTCAAGTCTTTAAAAAAATTTAAAAAATAGGACACGTTTTGAAGAGTGTCGGACACGTGTCCTGAGAGTGTCCAAAGAGTATCGGTGTCCGACACGGATACGACACGAATACGTCACCTTCTTAGAAGTGTCCGTGCTTCTTAGTCCGTAACTGTATTCTGTTAAACAGAACCATTACTGAAAGGAATCCTTATGTACATCATGTTTTCTCTCGCAACCTGACAAAACCTGTCTAGGCAACTAAAAGAATACCCACAAGGCTGAATTCAGTGTTACACCTGCACAGAAGCTGTTAAAACCTATCACCTACTTCACCCACTTAAACCTACTCCACTAAACCTAACCCACTACACCACTACCACCTCACCTACTCCACTAAACCCACTACACCACTACCACCTCCACTTCACCTACTCCTCACCTACTACACAATAAGTGGGTTTCTCTTGCTGGGTTGGCACACTCGACCCCTCATGTCACCATATATAAAATTGATATTGCTCAGGAGGAGCTTGGAAGCAAATTAAGCAAATTAAATATTCACTCTGTGCCAGCACTCCACTTCTATAAAGATGAGAAAAAGGCTGCTGAACTGATTGGTGCTGATGTTCAACGAAGGATAGCCACACTGCTTCTCTCTCTCTCTCACTTTGCACCCACTCTCCCAATACCACCACTATGGCCACTTTCCTTGTCCCTCAGAAAAAGAAAATTAATCTATCTGTGTTTGCAATCATCTGCTCTTAAATTTCCCGAGGTTGGTGAGATACGTCCTCCTGCAGGGCAGTTTGGAAGAAGATTTTTTTTGGCAGATAGAGGAGTGACATATTTGGAAGAATTGGTAAGAGATAAGTACCCTTCTTGGGCAGTGGTGTCATGTGTCTCTTTTCTAGGCTTTGAGGTTGATCATTTGAATCTCTTTCTTTTGGTCCTTAGAAACTCTTTATTATAATTAAATTGCAATCTTGAGTAGCATGTGAATAAACATGATGAGATGCAACGCGACTTATGCACAATTGAGACTTGGGAGTAGCTTAAGCACGAACTTAAGCTCTAGTTCTTCCCTGAAAATGTTGAGTATAATGCCCGGCGTGCTTTGCGGGATCTCAAGCACATTGGCACTATAAGAGATTATGTAAAACAATTCTCTAGGCTTATGCTAGACATCAAAGACATGTTAGAGAAAGACAAGCTCTTCTTCTTTCTTGAGGGATTGAAGCCATGGGTCAGAGTTGAACTCCAAAGGCAAAGAGTGCAAGATTTAGCCTATGCACAAGTAATAGCTGAGTGCCTTACGGATTACACCGAACCTAAGCAACGGGACGGTGGTTCCCCGCGCAAGAGTAGGGAAGGTGGAAAGTCCCAAGGCCATGGCAAACCTAAGAGTGGGGGAGCCAACACCATCCAACAGCCATTCGGGTGGAGGACAATGGCAACAGAAGAGCTATGGTGACAAGGCAAAAGCCGCTCAACAGTTCTCTACAAGCAAAGCAAAATGCCCTATCTCTTGTTTCTTATGCAATGGGCCACATCGGTTATCTGAATGTCCACAAAAGCGTACCTTGAATGCTCTAGCAGCGGTGCCTGACCATGTCTCTCAACCAAGTGACGATGATAGCAAGGAAGAAGACGTGTAGTCTAGGTGAAGTGGCAAGGGTTCTAAGGCAGCTAGCTCTAGAGTGGGAGCCTTTCATATGATGAATGCCATGGAGATGAAGGCTTCTATAGGGAGGCCTAAGAAGAATGCCAAGAGTGGCAAAGTGGGCAAGCATTCAGAGCCTAAACAACTTGTGGAGTCTAAAGATGAAGGCAAAGAGAAGAAACCCATGTATAGTGGGAAATTATCAGGCAAGTCACCCACAACTTTGTTGCTGGAACTGAAGTTGAAAGACTTGGGCTATCTTTAGAGAAGGATGGCAGCTGCATCAAGGCGGTTAACTCGGCAGTGCAGCCCATATATGGGGTTGCAAAATCTATTCATTTGAAGGTTAGCACTTAGGAAGGAAGGTGGCTTATCATCAAACCTGCGTTGGTAATTTGCAGCCTTGTTGGCCGCAGCATTGCTAATTAAAGCAGAAATTTCAATTGATTCACCATTACCTTTTTTCTTAAGCATGACGCTTCTTCGGCTCTCTTCCCTTCTGACTTCGGTAAATACTTCGCCAATGGATGGGAGAGGAGGTCTGCCAATAATTCTTCCTCGCACTTCATCGAACTCAATGTTGAGGCCGGCAAGAAACTTGTAAATACGGCTGTCTTCCACAGTTTTCTTGTGGTGGTTGCAGTCGTCAACCGATTTCCATTCGTATGTGTTGAAGATGTCAAGATCCTGCCACAACCTTTTCAACGAATTGAAATATTTGGTGACGGAATCATCTCCTTGACGAATCTCTCCCAACTTCAAAGTTAATTCGAAAACTTGAGATTGATTTCCTAGGTCAGAATACATCTGACTAACATTATCCCACAACTCTTGTGCTGTAGTATAGCACTTGTAATTAGAGCTTATATCCTTCTCCATGGAATTGACCAACCATGTCATAACCATGGAGTTTTCAGCGTCCCAACTGTCGAATAGCGGATCATTAACAGCAGGAGCCTTCTTGTCACCAGTGATGTAACCGATCTTTCCTTGCCCACGGATATACATCCGGACAGATTGTGACCAGCGGAGAAAATTATCACCATTTAGGCGGATGGTGGTGATTTGGACAGAGTGAGAGTTGGATGTTTTCACCGGAATGGCAGCGGCATGGGTTAAAGTGGTTTCGGACGTGACTTCCGACATGGCTATGACGGTTTTAGGGATGCTGTGTTTTTTGTTGCTCTGATACCAACTTAGAAAATATGAGGAAGAAGGAATATATTTCTGTTATATTCAAAACTTCTTATCTTACAAGACCAAATGACACTCCTTATATAGGAGATATTACAAACATCATTATAACCCATTATATGCCACTTACATATTATATATTACCACTATCTACCACTATCATATTATATACATGCCACTATCTTATTATTAACACAAATTTCCAGCAGGTATCCGTAACTGTATTCTGTTAAACAGAACCATTATTGAAAGGAATCCTTATGTACATCATGTTTTCTCTCGCAACCTGACAAAACCTGTCTAGGCAACTAAAAGAATACCCACAAGGCTGAATTCAGTGTTACACCTGCACAGAAGCTTACTTACAAGCCCACGTTCAGAAGAAGATGCTTGAGAGGCCTTTTATAGAACCATGAGACTCGAGCCCAGATAACCCTGCAAAGACTCAATGTCATTGTTGCCACTACGTCTGCAAGGAGAAAAGTAAAGTTAGTAAGATGAGTATTGTAATACATACATAAATTCTTACAGAAGCTTACTTACAAGCCCACATTCAGAAGAAGATGCTTGAGAGGCCTTTTATGGAACCATGTGACTCGAGCCCAGATAACCCTGCAAAGACTCAATGTCATTGTTGCCACTACATCTGCAAGGAGAAAAGTAAAGTTAGTGAGATGAGTACTGTAATACATGACACTAGTATGCCAACAGATATTAAATATTTGTGTAAATAACAAGAACAATTGTACAATTAATTCATATACGGATGCTACATATATTTCATCAAAAAATTATGATTTTACGGTATCCTACTGCTGCAAATCAATTGACATTTGTGAATGAAGACATACACTGTAATACAATTTGCATTTGAAGCGGCCAACCCTCCCCGACTAGCACGATATTATTATCCACTTTGGAGTTAGGTGAAAACAAACAGTTAACCCCTCATGGCTTTAAAAGACCTCATAATAGTCTAAGAGAGTTAGTCCACTTATGTAGTAGAGATGTGATCTCTCAAAGAGCGATGTGGGATAGTTCACCCATAACTTCCCAGTGGACTAGCTGCCTAAGCAGGGAGTTCCTACAGACAGCGCCAAATGAAGCGGCTAACCCTCCCAAACTAGCACGATATTGTCCTCTTTGGAGTTAGGCGAAAACCAACAGCTCACCCCTCACGGCTTTAAAAAGCCTCATACTAGTCTAAGGGTGTTAGTCCACTTATGTAGTGGAGCTATGATCTCTCACAGAGAGATGTGGAATAGTGCACCCACAACAGTCAATATCAAATATAAACCAAACCAAACCAAACCTTAAGTCCCATTCAAATGGGATTGGCTACATGAATCCTTCTTCTCTACTCGACTCTATCCAAAGCTATTTCATTAGTCAAGTCAAATTAAGGGGGCTCATATCTCTATTTACTACACTAACACACATCAATTTAGATCTGCCCCTTCCCCTAACACTTCCATCTACCGTCACTATATCGCATCTCTTCACCATTGTCTCTGTTGGATTCCGTTGTATATGACCAAACCATCTCAATCAATTCTCTCTCAACTTATCTTCTATCGATACTACTTCTACCCATTCTCAAATATACTCATTCTTAATTATATCTTTTCTAGTCTTGCCACACATCTATTTTAGCATCCTCATCTCAGCAACACTCATCTTATCTACATGTTGTTTCTCAATTGCCCAACATTCCGACCCATACAACATCGCTAGTCTAATACTTGTTCTATAAAACTTCCCTTTTAGTCAATATCAAATATACTAGCGCAAAATCCCTTTGTGACTAAAAGACTGAATTCCTTCAAAATTGCACATGAAAAAAGTGTTGCAGTTACAAACTCTAGAGAAATGTTGCATAATTGTCATTCTGCAAATTAAACAGATTTGCAAATTAAAATACATTGTATGGCTCACTGCCATTACAAAAACTGATGCCTGCACTTAAAAGGCACTGATAGAAAAGGATAAAAACTAAAACGAGCTCCTTTGAAGAAAATATATAGAACCATCTTATACAAAAGTAAAGCATGAGCATGGCACACAATCGGAATTTGATAATAAGGCTATTCACAAACCGGTTTGGTGTCAAAGCTGCTTAAACAGATTGCATGTCACACCCCAAACTCGCCCCTAAAAGTTCGGGCATGACCCATACAGAAACAGACACTTAACCTGATATACATATCATATGGGGCCTGAGAAGCATTTAATATAATAAAATAACACAGAAAAGCATCCATTGAGCTAAACCTAACATGCCAGGATCACATCCGTGAGAGTCATTTATTTTTAGACATACCCAAACACATACATGACCGCATAAACAAACATTGGTATAGAAAGGGGTCATAGACATACATTTTAACAGTAGGTAAATAATTAAAGTGCAAGCCAAAATCTTAACAAAACTTGACATAAATGCATAGACTTGGTCTGGGAGCCTGGGCATACTGAGGTTGACAACTGAAGGGTGAGCTTCAAGGGTTAAGACGGACTCCCAAAGTGATTACCTACAGAACAGACATAATATAAAGTGAGCGAAGCTCAGTGAATAATAGTACATAAACGATTCAATGCTCAACTTGAATTATAATACATATCAATGCATACATAAATAATGAGGCATAAGGTTAATTGATTCTGTATTAATTCTTGAATGGCCTAAGGCCCAGTCTTGAAACATATTGACTTGAAACATAATATCTTGGAACATAATGGCTTTAAGCCCTTGAACAAAGTGGCGATAGCCCTTGAACATATTTAGCATTAAACTTTTAAACATGTTGGCATATAACCCTTGTACATATGGCATAAAGCCCTTGAACATATAGCATGAAGCCCTTGAACATATGGCATGAAGCCCTTGGACATATGTGTATGAATTCAAGAGGTGTCTCACACGGACTCTAGAGGTGACTCACATCGTAGCACTTAGTTCCGTGTACCACTTTGTTTCATTTTATAATAACTTATACGGAATGGCCATAGGCCTCATAACTTGCACATATGTATGGACTCAAGAGGTGGCTCATGTACAGATTCTAGAGGTGACTCGCATTGCAGCACTTAGTTCCGTACAGCACTTTGTTCCATACCAAAAATACAAAATGGCCTCTGGCCTCATAGATCATATAGAATGGCCATAGGCCCAGATTGGCTATAAGCCTCATTCATATATGTATGGACTCAAGAGGTGGCTCACATGGACTCTAGAGGTGGCTCACAATGTAGCACTTAGTTCCAAGTAACACTTTGTTCTAGACCAACCATACATATCATGTCATATCATAAACGAAAACAAATTCATACATATGCATTATGCTTAACTCATAAACAAAAATCAGAATTCAAACTTAATTATACCTGGCACTTCAATAGTGCTAACAAGTCAATATAAAGCATTCTTGTTCCTCGGTACTAAGAACTTGTAATATCCTTGAACTTATAACATACGTGAACTTATAACAGACTTAAACTTATAACATACATAAACTTGTAACAGACTTAAACTTGTAAACTTGTAACATACGTAAACTTGTATATACTTGAAAACATATGTAACCTTGTACTATACTTGAACTTGTAACATGCGTATACTTGTAACATACTTGAATTGGTAACATACTTGAAAACATGCTTGAACTTGTAACATACTTGAAAACATACTTGAACTTGTAACATACTTGAAAACACGGTATTATTACCCCCGGGTAAGGGTCGTGTGCTACGGATGTCATGAATACCTTACATATATGGCCAACTGTTCATTACTTCAACACGTAACATATTAGAACATAGAACATTTCTTGTTATATCATGTCATTACAGTACACTTAGCAAAGACAGAACAGGTTACATCATAATGTGGGTTACATGACAAGGTCATCGATATTTAATTTTGTCTTTGGGTTGAGCCATCTGTAAGTCAATCCGTTGTTTATCATAATACTTAGCAGGTATTAACGTATAAAACAATCCGTGGTCTTAGCTAATTATTCGTTAAGAAATAGCGTAGTTCACTTGATCTATTAAAAGCATATAGAAGCATACACCTTTGTTTGCTCGTTCATATATGTTACCATATTTGACTTGTACTTAGCAGAGTACTACTGGTAGCCGTCACATCATTCACATGAGTTGACTTAAGTTTAACAGGACGTTCCTGATAATTACCAATGAGAGATAAGCACATTTACAAATTGAATGATTTCAGAGATACGTGAATACCATGATTCCATAGTGCTTATACGTTCCCTTGGTTCGTCATGAATCACTATAGATATCTTGCACATAATGTTAGTGTTCTTTGTCAACAATAATAAAATGTATTGCGCAATAATGCCTTTTGATTTTCCAATCAACATACTTGCAAGAAATAGAATGTTAACAATAAGAATCATTAACGATCATTGAATGTACGACTACCGTACTACTACTCACAGTGTTCAGATGCTTGGTCCGCCTCTGTAGCTGACCCTACACAATTCATAATAGACATAGAAATCGGGTCACATATAATTATTCCATTCTTAACTTGTTTAATTTTCTTTATACCAATTACACATCAATTTGCAATTCAACATAATTCAAACTAAATCCTTGAATCCCATTTCAACATTCCACAACTAAGTTCATGTCATCCATATCCTTAATAAATTATTTTCCCAATTTTTCCTTTACATTAAAGCATGAATTACAACGTTCATAACAAAGTTCATTCGCAAATTTTAAATATAATTTTCAAACATTTCCAAATTCCAATTAAACTTGTACATACATAATTCAATATCTCAATTTCATTATTCTACTTTCAATTTGGGCCAAATCATTGGTTATCATTAATCAACCTAAGGTTTTAAGAAAATATTGAAATTTCAAGACAAATTCAAACTTATTAACCAATTACTTTTTTATTCCCATTTTCCCATTGATTAAACACCTAGGATTCATAATTCACCATTTAAACCCATCAATTTAACTCCCAAGATTCCATCCCTCAAGAATCAAGCAAGCTTGATGAGATTCCTCCAAAATTTCGAAATCCAATCGGTAGAAAATATTGATCTTCTCTTGTTCTCCATCCTTGATGCAAGAACCATGGTGGATTGTTGATAAAAGTGGAGGAAATCAAGGTTTTGGGAGCTAGGGTTTCGGACATGGAGGAGGGGAGAAGAAGAGAGGAAAAGAAAATGTAAGAAATGGTCCAAAAATCACATTTTTGAGCTGCTGTCCCACACAGTCCCGCACGTGCGCCGCTATCCCCACACGTGCGGACCTGTTTCCAGCACAGATGTGAAAACTTCAAACGGGTATAACTCTCTCATCCGGACTCCGTTTTAGATCATTCTTGTGGTCAAATTGAAACCCCGGAGATAAGCTTTCCAATGGTTCTAACTTCACATCCAAATTCAAAGTGTGGAAAAAGAAAAAGGCAAAAGAGTGCCGGCTGATCGTAGACGAATTATTCGAATTAAAGTTTTTGGTCCAATCTTACTTTACGATCATATTACCACCTCGAGCAACACCCCAAAATAAAATGAGGAGGTTCCAAACATACCAATAAAAATGTCAAAAACGAACCCACGTGTCTCCTTATTCAACAGATATGAATCCATAGTCATAAGGTTCACTTACTTAAACTTAATTCCACGTGACATTTCATAATAAGCATATAAATACGCATAATGAGGGACTGAAAATATATCGGGAACACATGCGAGGGTTGGGTTATTACATTGCAAAGGCTTGGAAGGCAGAGAAAGGGTAACGATAATCCATGGTAAAAATGTCTTTTCCTATCTTTCCAAACTGTGGCATTACTTTCTCTTGTTCAGCGGCTGGAACATTTTGGCATGGCTCAATAGCTGCCACCAGCTGAAAGTTCTTAACAGAGGCGACTGTGACACGTCCTTTGAAATTAAGGCACCAACACTGCAACTGCCCATGCCATCTAGGAGCTTTGTTTTTCAAAATCAGTGGATCTCTTGTGTCATGAACTGGCTCAAGTGGCTCGGTAAGACTATTTGAGCCAAATTTAACAAGGTTTTTCCCTTTAGAAACTGATAAATGAGAGCATTGCTCATTAAGGAAATTCCCAAATGTTGCTACAGTTGGGGCAATGCCCCCTCCCTGAACTGCAGAGGTGGGGATTGAGTTCATGGTGCACAACATTCTCCTTGGTCCTTTGGTTCGAAGAACATTGAGCTCATAAGATATGGTAGCCACGTTGTAATTGCATTTTCGATGTGACCGACCATTGGATCGGATTGCATGGTCACACGGACGCTGGCTATCATAAATAGAGAACTTGGAACCAAGAAAGTTCGACCTATTAAAAAATAAATATAAAAATAAAAAGAATTTGCCCATTAATTAAATGAAAAATGATTCAAATGATGTGAAGATTAGAAAAATAGATTTGGGAAGCAACCTCAATTTCCCAATATATGCATGATTAGATTGAGAGAGGTGAGAGTTTTTTCAGTTCTACTTCGTGTCTGCTCTGTATAGAACCGAAAAAGAAAGGTGAGAGTTTTTTTTTTTTTTTCAACCTGCTTCAGTGAGATGGGGAAAGTAATCAACCCACGTTGCTCCGGAGTTCTTACAACCTCTTTTGTTGTCTCCCTCCAAGACCTGCAAACTGAAGCACAAGCAACCACATCTCTCCTGGCGGGCCACAAGGTCTGGGTAGCTTCTAGCCGCTGAATTATATCAAGGAGCAACTCAGAAGGAAAATTCTCCCAACTGTTCCTTTCAACCAATTCAAGTGGAGATGATGAAATTTCAGGGGCTACATGTGATCTTCCATGACCATGCAAACACTTCTTCTCAGATGTCCTTCTCAACTTATTCTTAGAACCCTCTCGCATCTCCCTTAGCTCCCGAAACATGCGTTTAAATGACATTATCATTGAAAAATCGTTTTTCCCCTCAATGTATTTCAGCTAAACACATCGTAATTTGAATTGAATCAACACATAATATGACAGATCTAATTGCAGAGAAATTTGAACACACATTTAAATTATTGAATGAATTCGCAACGTAACAGTGGCTAATTCTTTGCCTGCTCTTACCTTATAGATTAAGGCTTTATGTCTACAAAAGAAAAAGGACCGCTCAATCGATATGTTGACTTCCTCAATTATTGCTGAAAATTTAAAGCAGTTCTATCAATTATGGAATATTTTGACTAATACTACCATTTATCATTTAGAAAAAAGAACAAACATGTTACCAAAATGCACAAAATGCGAAGAACATCTTGTGAAGATGTTATAATAGAAATTAACTTTGAATCGATTATGGATGCGATAAAAAATGCATAAAAATAAATAACAATCAACATCCATATAAAACTCATGATTGCCTTCTCGTCTATTTCATCATTCAAAAAAAGAAAATGAATCATCATAAATTTTGAATTTTAGTGAGAATCTTTGAATCTAAAACAAAAGTTCATATATTTTTCGAGTATATCTCAAAAAAATAAAAACACGAATAATGCTAAAAAAACACAGAGAAATTGGTATACCGATGGTCAGACGATTCGTCGGAGATCAGAAGAAAATGTCAAGAAATTTGCCAGAAATCTTCAAGGATTTTCAGATCCAATGCGTAACAGTGAAACGAAACCTCGCACGTTCGTTAAAATCCACCTACTACACACCTACCACTACCACCTACTACACACTCATCTACTTCACCTACTCTCCACCTACTCCTCACCTACTCCATCTACTGCACACCTACTACACACTCACCCTCTCCTATATATAGGAATCATTGTAAACATATAACAACAATCAATAATACATCAATTTTTTACATGGTATCAGAGCCATAAGATTTAGGCCTATATTTCTTTCTCACCGGCGGGCAGTCGGCCGGCAACCTTGCCTTCACTGCCTGCTGGAGTTTTCTACACATACCTTCACTCCGTTGCATCTTCAACTCTCTCTCTCAATCATCTTTCTCTGTGTGCTTACTTACCCAGCGATCTTCTTTGCCTTTTGTGATTTTCCAATCAAGAACAGACCAAGAAGCAGAAAGCAGTATAGCTATAGAACTCAACATCCAAACACATGAAGAGGAGAGAAGCGATCGAGAAGATGGCTTGACCCAATCGAAGAGCCAAGCTGGCACTCGTCCCCAAAGCCCCTGGCAGTTCATCCATCTCGCATGCGAGCCTTGCTGTCGATCTTCTTCTTCTTCTTCCTCACTCTCGATAATAAACCCTTCCTTCTTCCCCGAAAAATTCAAAACTTCCGGCAATGAGGCCCGCCGGCATTCTCGCAGGACTCTTCCTCCTCCTCGCTCTCTACTGCGGAATCGACCCCTTCAAACACAGCGCAATCTCCGACTTCCCTGACTTCGAAACCTACAAGGTCGAAATGCCCGATTGGTCCGATGCTCCTGCGATGAAAGACTCCGAGAATCTGTTGCAGAAATCGGAAATTAAGTTTCTGAATCAGATTCAAGGTCCGGAAAGCATGGCGTTCGATCCGCAGGGCCGTGGCATCAACCACTTTTTCTATCTCAAACAGATCTTCATAAAAACCCTCTATTTTTTTTATTCTCTTTGTTCCCACCATGTCTCACCCATAACCTTTTTTATTTTTTAAACCACTCTTCATAAAAAAAACCCTCTGTTCCACCGCCTGAACATCCTCCCCCTTGGAACCAAGAAAGTTCGACCTATTAAAAAATAAATATAAAAATAAAAAGAATTTTCCCATTAATTAAATGAAAAATGATTCAAATGATGCGAAGATCAGAAAAATAGATTTGGGAAGCAACCTCAATTTCCCAATATATGCATGATTAGATTGAGAGAAATCATTTGTTGCCAGGGATATCCGAAAATCTGTACTTGTTGCCTTTCTGATCTTTTTTGCTGCCAACAACAGTTTGCTGACATCCTCTGATAGTGCTGTAATTAAGTAAAAGTCATCAATATGTATTATATATGTATTTAATTATTATCTAAAGTTGTAAGAGAAAAAATTAGATAGAAGACAGATATGATCATACAAGTAAAATATCTCAAAACTTTCTATCCAGCTGCTAATTTGAGCATGAGTTCAGAAAGTTTGACAACTAAACAAGCGTCTCTAACAATAATAGAGATCTAAAAATCAGTGATCAGTAAAAAAGAAGAACAACATGAAACAAAGTAGGGAAGTCACACTTATTCAAGATGTTAACTTCAAAGTTTTCAAACATATTCCCAATATTTAATCATCACTCTCATAAAATTCTTTGTGCACATTTAAGTTGTTGACAACCAAACAAGGAGCATAGCATTATTTACTTGGACTCAAGCCGAGGTACAAACTATACGTTGACGTGACCCTATCCCTTTTTATAAAGCATTGGATTAGAGAATCTCTTGGTCCTGGCTGATTGATTTTAAAGGATTGAAGTAACAAAGCAACAAAGGACACAAATTCAGTATATACAGAGCAGACACGAAGTAGAACCGAAAAAGAAAGGTGAGAGTTTTTTTTTTTTTTTTCAACCTGCTTCAGTGAGATGGGGAAAGTAATCAACCCACATTGCTCCGGAGTTCTTACAACCTCTTTTGTTGTCTCCCTCCAAGACCTGCAAACTGAAGCACAAGCAACCACATCTCTCCTGGCGGGCCACATGGTCTGGGTAGCTTCTAGCCGCTGAATTATATCAAGGAGCAACTCAGAAGGAAAATTCTCCCAACTGTCCCTTTCAACCAATTCAAGTGGAGATGATGAAATTTCAGGGGCTATATGTGATCTTCCATGACCATGCAAACACTTCTTCTCAGATGTCCTTCTCAACTTATTCTTAGAACCCTCTCGCATCTCCCTTAGCTCCCGAAACATGCGTTTAAATGACATTATCATTGAAAAATCATTTTTCCCCTCAATGTATTTCAGCTAAACACGTCGTAATTTGAATTGAATCAACACATAATATGACAGATCTAATTGCAGAGAAATTTGAAATTACAAATACCCTGAGATTTGAAAAATTACAAATTCCCCCTGAATGCTATATTTAAATAACAAATTTGGGGACAATTTGTTATGAAATATAAACCTCAAGAGACAAATTGTTATGAAAATACAAATCTCGGGAGGCGAGATGTAATTTCTGAAACTTCAGGAAGGTATCTGTAATTTAACCAAATCTCGAGGGAGGTATATGTAATTTGCCCTTTAAATTATTGAATGAATTCGCAATGTAACAGTGGCTAATTCTTTGCCTGCTCTTACCTTATAGATTAAGGCTTTATGTCTACAAAAAAGAAAGAACCGCTCGATCGATATGTTGACTTCCTCAATTATTGCTGAAAATTTAAATCAGTTCTATCAATTACGGAATATTTTGACTAATACTACCATTTACCATTTAGGAAAAAGAACAAACATGTTACCAAAATGCACACAATGCGAAGAACATCTTGTGAAGATGTTATAATAGAAATTAACTTTGAATCGATTATGGATGCGATAAAAATGCATAAAAGTAAATAACAATCAACATCCATATAAAACTCATGATTGCCTTCTCGTCTATTTCATCATTCAAAAAAAGAAAATGAATCATCATAAATTTTGAATTTTATAGTGAGAATCTTTGAATCTAAAACAAAAGTTCATATATTTTTCGAGTATATCTCAAAAAAATAAAAACACGAATAATGCTAAAAAACCACAGAGAAATTGGTATACCGGTGGTCAGACGATTCGTCGGAGATCAGAAGAAAATGTCAAGAAATTTGCCAGAAATCTTCAAGGATTTTCAGATCCAATGCGTAACAGTGAAACGAAACCTCGCACGTTCCACTGTCTCCGAAGAACAGAACAGAAGAAAACAGAGCAATCAAAGATCAAAATGCGAGAAGATTGAAGCACCAATTGTTGAATGGCGAAATAGCCGAAGAAAAAACTACGAAAAGTTTGAAATCCGAGTCGGAATTAAACAATTCTTAATTTTTTTAACCACTTCCAATGTCTCCGAGAAAACAAAAAGGGTTTCTAGATCAGAGAGAAAGGCAAAAACTAGAAAATTGTCTGTTTTGTTGATTCCGAAACAGTGGTGGTGGTAGCTTCTATGCCGCCGTCGAAGCCACTAGCGCCGCCGCACCGGAACCAGGAGCACCGCCGAGGCCACGACCACAAGAGAGTATTCAACAACAGATTCGAAAATAGAAAAACTATTTTCCATCTTTTGAAACTCCTATTGAAACTGTCATTTTAATTTCGTCCATGAAAAATAACTGTTGGTTCTTGTTTGTGTACTCGCACATTTGGCGTGACGTACTTGGACACGTGTAATAATGCAGAGCTGATTGTATTTGGCTGATGTAGGAAAAAAAGTTTTTAAATAAATGTTTGGTTAGTCTTTGTTTGGATTGCAAAGTTAATTACTTAAAAATTTTATTTATAAATATTATGATAGTTTAGATTTTATTTAAAAAATTTTGAATTAATAAATTTTATTTAGTAAGATTAAGAATATTATTAATTGTTTTAATTTTTAAAATTAAGAATATTATCAATTTTGTATAATAATGTTCTAAATAATTGTTTCATTAACTGATAAAAAAACAAAGTATGAGATTAAACGTTTTTGCCCTTCTACTTATTAGTTTGATTTAACTATCTAATAAAACTGAGAATATTATCAGTTTTTTTCTAGTTTTAAAACTGAGAACATTACTAGTTTTTTCATTTTTAAAGTTTTTTTTTTTTCAATTTTGCACATCAATATTCCATCATCATGTTCCTCTATAAACACAAAATTTTCAATTTTGCTCAAAAAAATAATTCAATTTTTTTTTTAAAAAAAATACATAGTGTTTTTTTTTTTGGCACATAATTTTTTTTTTCTTTTAGTTTTTTTAATTTGAAAGTTGATATTTTAAAATTTTGAAAATCAAAATAAATGTTATAGATAATCTTAAATGATGAACAATCATTGTTTGAATAACAATTCTGACTATTAAAAAATTAATGGGACTTGAAATTCCAAGAAATCTTAGTTAGAATTTATAAGTTCATAAATTAAGACTTGTGTATAAATGTCATTTGATTAAATTAGTAAAAAAAACTAATTATTATTGTTATTATTATTATTTAACTCTAAGGTCATATTTGGTTGAAGAATTTGATAAGAAAAAGGGGAAATAGAAACAAAGTGAGAAATAATTGATAGGATTCAAGTTTCAAACTATGCTTAGTTGAATTGGGAAATGGAGATGAAAAAAATAAGTATAAATAAACCCAAAAGACAAAAAATGAGATTGTATTTTTTTTCTCACTTTCTTTTCCCTTATAATTTCTGTTATAAGCAAATAAAAAATAAAATTACATTTCTTTTTTTTCTTTTCATTTCTCACACCAAATCATCCAACCAAATGCAGCGTAAGGGTTGGTGTTTAGCATTTTCTTTAGAATAAATACAATGAACCTCCATAAGCATACTATAATTACATCAATCCCTTTTCAATGAGGGTAAAACAATTGAAATTAGGGCAGAAGGTGAGAAGACAAAAGAAACAAACAAGATAAATTATATACTTTAGTGTAAAAATATGCTAATATCGTTTGGGTTGGGTTTAATTGAGGGTTTCGTAAGGCTCATCGTGAGTCCCTTTCCAATGATTTAAATTATTTATTTTATAGAACTGACAAAATATATAACTCATAGAAAAAATTAGATTGATTTGATAATTAAACTTTTTTTTATTTTATCACGATTATCGCTGAAAAAATGAATAAGAAGTAAGTTTTTGAAAATAAACTAACTATTTCTTTTGAAATAAACTCGATAAATTGAAAATATTATAATTATCATATTAAATTAAATTTTCTTTTGAATATATTCTGGTTATAGACCCGCTTGAAAGAAGGCAACCAGCACTGTCATTTTGGGTAGCTTATATTGACCTTCATTGAGGTATAGAAAAATACAATAACTTTCATAAGGTTGACATAAATGTATCAAATTTTATTTTAATAAGATTGAAACGATTGAAATTAATATAAATGGTATGCAAATATAAGGATAAATAAAGTAAAATATAGTGTTAAAGTAATTAAAACATTATTTTTTTTATATCCAAACATATGCATATAATGAATTACTAATGAAAATGAATCTGAGCATTATGTGAACTAAAACATTAATTCGCCTGTGTTTGGCAAGGGCTTTTTCAGGCTTTTTTGGCTATTTTAGCCACAAAAAACAAAATAGGCTATTTTAGCCATAACAAACAAAACATCACATCCAACCTATAATCATTACATTCTTCTCTCACAAAAAAAGTCAAAAAAGCCAAAAAGCCAAAAAGCCAACCCACTTCCCAAATTGTTATTCAATGTAAGCCTATGGGCATTGTACTATGTCATATTTATACCATCATTGTTGCTTTCAGAGAATGATATTATTTATTCTTGTTATTCTCAAGTAAATGGAATTGTTATAATGGATTTGGTAATGTTATCCAAGTAATAAAAATGTGGGCATGACAAATTATTTTATTATTATTATTTTTAGATAGGGCAAGCACTAATTATAAAAGCCAAAAAATTGTTACTAAAAAAATGAAAAAGTTATTATACCAAAAATATCACTAAAGTTACTAGCAGTAGTTTTAACTTAAAAGTCAAAAAATTTTAGTAAAAAAAAAAAAAAAATCAAAAAATTAATATAAAAAAGCCAACTCTTCTATTTTATTTTTCAAGTAATACTACAAATCCACCCTTATATCTATTTACATATATCTATTTTTATCTCATTTTCTCATTCCAAACTATAAGTGAGCGAGTCTCATACATATTTATGAATACATTACTTTGTATCTAGGAATGAGAAAATGAGGTAAAAAATGAGATGTGCTTTGGCAAAGAGGTAAAAAGCCAGCTTTTGGCTTTTTACCTATTTTTGGTCACATCACCTCTCACATTTTTTACTCACTAAAAGACAAAATAGACAAAAAAAAGTCAAAAAGTCAGTTTTTTACCAACTTTTCAAAACACCACTATGTATATGATTGGTCTTTTGAAATTTATAAACAGTATCAATATTAAACTAGTTATTTTTATTTTTTAGCTAAAATAATGAATAAATTACTAAAGAAAAATGTTTGAGCTCTAATTTAGCACTCTTAATCCATCCCTAATGATGTGGAATGGACCTCACTCCTTATTTCTCATCCTTCTTCTCTTTATCTCTTTCTATTCTCTCTCTCTTCCATCTCATTAAAGGTCAAAATAGGGTGATATATTAGGAGATGTAACACAACTCATCACTAAATTTCGCATCTATCAAATTAGTCATCAAGTTAACCATTTTAGCTTTGATAGTTTTGACCCAACAAATGTAACTAGTAGTTTACCATAGCCAAACATTAAAATAATATTACTTTTTATGTTTTGGAACTAATCGTGTTGAGTTTATAAAAAATAATTTCAAATTAAAATGAATAAAATAATATTTAAATAAATATATAGTTTGTTGGAGAATATATTTAAAAAGATGAAAAACCAAAATAGAAAAAAGTAACTTTTAACTTAAAATATAACAAATTTTAACTAGTTTAATATTGATGCTCTTAGCTACCTTTCAAACCGTACCTCAAAATTCAATTAGACCCCCAATATATTAGCAAAAATTAAATTTAAATATTTAATTAATAAATTTTCATCTCAAATTAAAATTTATTAATTAAATAATTAAATCTTAATTTTGTTAATGAGTGCAACTAAATGCCTCTACCTATTTACTTTGAACCCCCACTTACATAATTGAAACCCTCTCATCTTCTCTTTAGGGCTGCAAATGAGTCGAACTGTTCATGAATAGACTCGACTCAGCTCGTTAAGGGCTCATCATCTCGGTTCGTTTAGTAAATGAACTGAGCTCGAGTTTGAATAAGTTCGGCTTGTCAAATTCGACCCGTTTATCTTTATTTAAATTATATAATAAATATATTATTTACATGTTAAATAATATATAAATAATATTTTTTATTTAAATAATATTAAAAAAAATCTTATCGAGGCGAGCCGAGCCAAGTTCAGTTCGAGTTTCATTAATATTAACAAGTCAAGTTGAGTCGAGCTCGAGCCTAGTTAGTTATCAAGTCGAGCTCGAGCTCAAGCTCAATAAACGAACTCGACAAGCAAATGAGTCAAGCTTGAGCTCGGCCCAGCTCAGCTCGTTTGCAGCCTTACTTCTCTTTGGACCCCCACCTAATACCAACTATACCTTTATTCTTTGGAGCCTCAATTATTCTTCTTTTGGCAACCCCTTCCACTACCGATAGCCCTTTACTGTGACGACCTTCATTCCGGTAACCTCTACCTCTACCGGTAACCCTACTTTCCCTCTGTCTCTCCATCACCCCGCCATCCCTAACTGCCACCACCACCACCTAGCCCCACTCCTACTGTCGCCCCTCGTCATCCCTTCTCTTCTCTCATCTCCTCTCCATTCATTTGTTGTTGTCACCCTTTATACCATCGCGACCGAACCATACTCCTCACTCACTCGCTGTCGCACTTTCTCAGCCTTTGCCACTACCACAACTAGTGTTGTTGGGAACTAGTCTGACACCATCGCACCAAACCCCTATTATCGTGACCTAGTTCATCTCCAAATCCAACGTTGTGTATAAGAGAGAGAGAGAGAGAGAGAGAGAGAGAGAGAGAGAGATCTTATAACGATTCTGATTTAGACCCGAACCGTTTATTGTTTTGACTAAAAGAAAAAATATATATATTTTAACGAACAAAAATTAAATCATCAATTTTTTTTTCATTTGCATGTTAAGAGTAGTGTTAACTGTTAAGAGTAGTGTTAACTGTTAAGAGTAGTGTTTCATTTGCATGTTAACAAACACCATGTTTTTTATTTAAAAAAAAAAATCTTTTTATGGATCTAAAACACCATGAACAGGGTGTTTTTAAAACCCTTTTGAAAACATCATAAATATTATACATATATATATATATATATATAAACAAGGTCAAAAATAGGGTTTACTTCACACACAAAAGTCAGTCTACACTAGGGCTTTTGAAAAGTGTTAAAAAAATTAGCGATTTGTGTTATAAACAGGCTGTTTTTAACCCCAAAAAAATAGGGTTTGTTCAAAAAGTAAAACAATAAAAAATAGGGTTTTCAAAATAAAAAACTAGGGATGAAATTTACCTAATACCAAGACTTTGCTTCAAAATTCTGAGTAATGAA